TTTTTTTTTTTTTTGCGGTACGCGGGCCTCTCACTGTTGTGGCCTCTCCCATTGCGGAGCACAGGCTCCGGACACGCAGGCTCAGCGGCCATGGCTCACGGGCCCAGACGCTCCACAGCATGAGGGATCTTCCCGGACTGGGGCACGAACCCGCGTCCCCTGCATTGGCAGGCAGACTCTCAACCACTGCACCACCAGGGAAGCCCCTCCACTATGTTTTAAATGCTTATTCAAAAAAACACTAGAGTAGAAAAAAAGATTTAAAAAACATCCCAAGGTCTCAATCTCAAAAACATGTCTAATAGTTTGGAAGTATATAGTTAGGTTCTTAATGCATATGTAATTTTATATTCTGTTTTACTGACTTATTTTTGAATGAAAATCTTCTATGACATTACATTTTTTAAAAAAAGTTTTTATTTATTTATTTTTGGTTGCATTGGGTCTTCATTGCTGCGTGTGTGCTTTCTCTAGTTGCAGCAAGTGGGGGCGACTCTTCGTTGTGGTGCATGGGCTTCTCATTGCGGTGGCTTCTCTTGTTGCGTAGCATGGGCTCTAGGTGCACAGGCTTCAGTAGTTGTGGCACGAGGCCTCGGTAATTGTGGCTCGCGGGCTCTAAAGTGCAGGCTCAGTAGTTGTGGCTCACGGGCTTAGTTGCTGCGCGGCATGTGGGATCTTCCCGGACCAGGGATCGAACCTGTGTCCCCTGCACTGGCAGGAGGATTCCCAACCACTGCACCACCAGGGAAATCCCATCATTACATTTTATATGTATATATTTATATATTATTTATATATATGTATGTATGTAGTGGCTTCTTAATTATATGCAAAGCAATATATTATAATTAGATTTATTTCTGAAATAAACTAAGGCACTTTTAGAGTCTTCATGATCTTAAATGTAGACTTTCTCATGGCAGTTTTCTTACTAGAGTATAGTTCTCTGAGGGCAGAGACCGTATCTTATTTGTTTTTCCCTCAAAACAAATACCATAAATGCTGAAGATACGGAAGATATCATAGTTACCAGGTTGCCATATTTAGTGTCACTGCCCAACTCTGGTTTTAGTCAGTTCAGATTTATAGGTTTATCACACATATAAATAGGTGTGGTGGTATACCTTTTCTTAATTTTTATAAATGTGCCATACAATTCCTTGCAGTTCTTGGGGCAGGATTCATGGTGCCATCTATTTAATTTTATATTATTTATTTATGCATTGATTTCATGTGTGTGTGTATGTGTATCATATTTTACATTTAGAATCAACAAGCTGGGATCTGGAAGTGATTTTGAAGCTTATTTTCAGAGACTTGGAATTGCTTCAGGAAGAGTCCGGTACACTAAGAATAGGGTAAGCCATTTTATTATTTTGGATACATAGCACTTCATCCACATTCTCTTTGTTAGGAATTCTGTCATTTAGTTGTTGGGTACCAGGCACCGAGTGGACATGTGGCCTGGGAAGAATTGCAGGGATAGAGATAGCCTGCAGGTCCCTTTGTAGATGGACTAGGAAATAATTTGTGTTATTTTGTTAATGTTCACTGCCAGGGTTATTCAGTGAAGTGGTAGTTGATAGAGTAATGCCAGGTATTTAGCTGGTTATCACTACCAAGAGGTTTGCATCCTTTTCCTGATGCGGGCTTTGTTGGAAAATCTAATTCTTCTTTTCTGATCTGCATTGCCTGCATTGCACCATTGCCACTCAAACACATTGATGATATGTGAGTACATGGGTTTCGAACCTATACCGTGTTTGTCTGTTATAAATTATGTCATAAACCAAACTGAAGATTACATCAGTAAACTCAAATTTGTCACAGATTTTAATAATTTTTAATCATAATTGCAGTATGCCAACATCTTGCTTATCTAGAATACATATCCCTTGCAAATTTGACTATCCAGTATACAACTAACAGAGAAGTAAGCAAAAACAACTTCAGAATAACCCATAATAAATACATAAATCTGTATACTAATACTCATTACACTTCATACATAAAATATGCACTTTACCTCTGTCAAAGCTTGTTCACTTTTATACTGTCATCATTCTGAACAAAGTTAGCTAGTTTCTAAGACAATGCAGATTTAAAGCAGAATATCAGATAGAGGGAGAGAGACTGATAAAGGGATGCCTTTCAGTGATATTAAAAGCAATAAGAATGATAGCTTTATGGCAAAGTAGCAGATAGGTAAAAACTAAAGTTAGGAAAGGCAGACCTAAGAAGTAAAACGTATTTATGTGGAGTACCACCCTGTAACAATTTATGTTTATAATGGTAACCCTTAATTTTGTAACAAAGGTTAAATGGCATATGGTTATATACTGTTTGGGAAGGGAGGGAAGGGGCTGAAATGTTGACCTTTAAACAACAGGGGTGCCAACCCTCCCAGCAGTTGAAAACCCACACATAGCTTTACATTCAGGATCGTGTAGTCCTGTAGTACATATTTATTGAAAAAAATTAATGTATAAGTTGAACCCCTGTAGTTCAAACCTGTTAAAATGTCAGCTGAATAATCCTTCAGCTATAACAATACTTAGCTGCTCAGAACCTTTCATTCTCAATCAGTTGATAGATAATTTTAAACTGTGCTGGTATGCAATTTGAGCATGTACTCCTTAATTTGTCAGCAAAGCAATAGGGAAAAGTTTCAGGAAGCAGTGTTTTGAATAAAGATTATATGAATTATAAAATGAATAATGGTAAAATTTTAAATTGGTGAAAATTTGGCGGTGGGGTTTTAGTTAATTAGACTTAATGTTTTCACTCATTGTGATAAAACTCAGGGTGCCATATGGTTATGTTTTTTAATACAATCATTTTATGATTCCATAAAATATTATAATTTGAATATTTAATGTTTGTATATACTCGGTCCCCCCCCACCTTTTTTTTTTTCAGAAAACAGATAATTACAGCAGCTATCCAATGTACCATACAATTTATGAGACATTTGAATTGGTGGAGAATTTTTATGACCCCACGTTTAAAAAACAGCTTGCTGTAGCTCAGTTACGAGGAGCACTGGTTTATGAGCTTGCAGACTCTATAATCATTCCTTTCAACATTCAAGACTATGCAAAATCTTTGGAAAACTATGCAACAGGTATCTACAGCTTATCCAAGAAATATGACCAACAATTAAGAGACCATCAAGTATCATTTGGTAAGAAATGGCTGGACAGATATTTTATAATCATCAAGTTAGAGTTTTAAGATATCACCTCCTATTGTCATCCATGCATACCATTTCATCCTAGAATTTATCCCTGCCTCATTTCTTAATCCTGACTTATAGAAAAAAAACTTTAAACACCTATTAAAGAATGTGATTTAGTTTGATATTTGTAGGATGAATCCATTTTGCTAAGTTAGTGCTACAAACATTGGGTTGGTAAATATTTTCCCCATATTGCTGCCTTTAAAAATGTTTTGTTATAAGAACAATACTATTAAAATGTAACAATATTACACAAAGATTGGAAAGTAGAGAAAGCCACCACTTCTACTACATATATGTAGTATTACGTTATTATCATTATTACTGCAGCATTTACCTATTAATGTTTTTCTACATGGAGGATTTTTTACATGGTTTTCAGCATTCTTTCCTTTTATATCCGGCCATTTTGTGGTTGCTATTCCACATCATGTATCTCCTGCAAAGCAGAAGTGAAATGTGGTGTAGTGTAGTGTAGCAGCATTAAGCATTGGGTCTGGAAGCAGTTTCCTGGTTCAAATCCTGGCTCTAATATTTAGTCATTGTGTGACCTTGAGAAAGTTACTTAACCCCCTATGTGTCAGTTTCATTATGAGTGAAATAGTAAAGTAAAATGTTTCCAAGATTGTTGTGGAGATTTCATTTGGTTGGTATGTGGAAACAATGGTGACTGTCACTTAGTGCTCATAATGTTAGCTATTATTACTGTTTTATTGCAACCATTTTCTTTTATTAATCTGGGAGTACATATTCTTAGTATATATCAAAGTTATCAAATATGTACTGAGTGTCTACTGTGTACCAAGTGCTGTGTTATTTCCTGGGAGATATAAAGAAGATTAAGAAATAGTCATTGTCTTCAAAGAGCTTAAATTCTCATGGGGAAGGAGAAGACAAAATGCAGGGGAAAATCTATTAAAGGGGTGCACAGAGGGTACTATAGGGGTGCTGAGAATGAGTAGCGGGTGGTCAGTAAAGCGAGAGAGAGGCATGGACATATATACACTACCAAACGTAAGGTAGATAGCTAGTGGGAAGCAGCCGCATAGCACAGGGAGATCAGCTCGGTGCTTTGTGACCACCTGGAGGGGTGGGATAGGGAGGGTGGGAGGGAGGGAGACGCAAGAGGGAAGAGATATGGGAACATATATATATGTATAACTGATTCACTTTGTTATAAAGCAGAAACTAGCACACCATTGTAAAGCAATTATACCCCAATAAAGATGTTAAAAAAAAAAAAAAGTAACCTTCAGAAAGTTATGACAAGCAGCAGGCACTAAGATCTAGAAACTGAAGCAAAGAAAATTTAGAAAATTGTGCTTAGATCTATATGAATTGTCCCAATAAGTAAGTATTGAATGAATAAATAAATGAATGCTGGGTTTCTGATAAATTGAGTTAAAAGGATTTTTTATGTCTTAAACTCTTGAAATTTGTTATTTCCTTAAGAACCAATTTTGCCATTTTCAATTTGATACATTATTTCTTTGTTACAATATTTTCTAATAATTTCCATGGATCTGAAAGAAGACTCAGTAGAAAAATAGTTTCAACATCTATTTAGTCACAGCAATCTGGAATGGGCGGGGGGTTGGAAAATGAACCTTTGAAATATGAAGCACTCATGCTTACTAATCTCCCTTCTACTTTTCTATTTTTTAAAAAAGATTCCTTATTTTCTGCTGTGAAAAACTTCTCAAAGTCTGCTTCCGATTTTCACAGAAGACTTTCACAAGTTGATCTGAATAAGTAAGTTTCAAATGTAAAGCTCCCTACTGTTTTGAAAAGCAGTCTGGTTACTGGAATGAACTGGGTACACTTATAGAAGCATTCAACTCTGAATCATTGCTACTCAAATTATGGTGTGCCAGCCAGTAGCATCAACATCACCTGGGAGCTTGTTAGAAAGGCAGAATATCAGACCCCATCCAAGACCTGCTTTATTAGAACTCTGCACTTTAACAAGACTCTCCAGGTAGTTTGTATTCACATTAAAGTTTGAGGGGCATAGCTGTTGAATGATAGACTAAAAACTCATCCCATGGCAAGGGCCAGGGAGACATGTCTTTAGAAGTTTGCATGATAAGAATTCTGACTATTTCTGGTAATTCATAATTCTATGGGTTTAAGTGCATTTGTAGCATATTTTACTACAGTCACAATATTCCTGTGAATGGTGTAGAAATTCTTTCTTTACTAATACTTTTTTTGCATTTCATTTAACCTCGTGCCGTTGTTAGGTTGAAAAATAATTTAAAAGTTATACTCAAAGCATTATTTAACAAGCATAATTTGTTCCACCTTACAGTCCATGTCACATTTCTTAATTTTTTTCAGATTTATCAGAATAAGCTTTCCCACCTCCCATCCGGGCAGAAAGCTGTATCAGTCATTGTGAGGGGCCTCTCTCCCTGGGGTTGTAGGACAGCCTAGGGAACTTTTGCAGCACCCCAAAAGAGAGTTGGCAGATTCCAAGTGTGGAAGGGACTCCCTGCCCACTAGGAGCAGCTGTCTCCCTCCTTGCAGACTCCTGCAACTTCCCTTCATTCTGTCTTGTTTAGCCTTTACTCTGCTCCTTTCTTCCACAGTAGAATTAACTGGTTTATCAATAACAACTTGGTAGTCCACCCTACCTTTGTAGGCTCTCCTCCTACAAAGAATTAAAAATGTCTTTCACTTCTTTCGGTCTGTGATCTTGAAAAACAAACCATTTCCCAATCAGTCTCTCTGCTTATTATAAATAATAGAAAGATGCCCCTGCTGTTATATGTAGCTTACCATATGAGCCTTACTGTGTATTTTATATGCATTTTCTTTAAAAAATCTATGAGTTTAGGTTATTTCCTCATGCCTTATCCTTATTTAATATTTTAAAATGTGGTTGCATGGTAAGGGTTTTAAGTATCTATTTCTTATTCTCAAAGCCCCACTGCAGTGAGAATTATGAATGACCAACTGATGTTCCTGGAAAGGGCATTCATCGATCCCCTTGGTTTACCAGGGAGGCCATTCTATAGGTAAGGAGGCAACAGCTGTTCCACTAAAGGACACCAAATATGTCACTGTGACCAAAACCAGCATACCCAAGGTGTGCTTCAAACTCCTGCTATCAGACAAGTGGAAAGTGGATATGTGTACTGAAGGGAATACGGGTGAGATTATGCACAACAGTGTAACTTGTACTGTCAGAGAAGTTAATTTCACGTCGTGTGTTGCTTTGCTGCAGATGTAAACGGCAGATGATAGTTGAAAACCAAGTCTTGTAACAAAATCGAAAAGACACAGAATCTTAAAGGGGATCTGAGAGCTCATGTAGTTCAATTTTCTACATGAATCTTTTCTGTAGGATCTCAGAAAAGTAGCTATCCAGCCACTGTTTGAATCTTCCAGTGAATGGAAGCTTACTACCACACGAGGAAGTTCGTTCTGTTTTAGGAAAGTTCTACTTAATAGAAAGTTTTCTTCATAAAGATGTATTTCCCTGTAATTTTCTCCCTCTGACCCTGTTCTGCTCTCCAAAGTCAAAAAGAATTAGTCTAGATCTATTTCCATATAACATTTCAGGTTTTTGAAGATGGATGCCATAGTTTCCCCTAAAGAAATATCACTGTTTTTTTGATCTCTATCTCAGGTTTTCTTTCAGTATCTTGGCTGCTTTTGGATAGCCTCCAGTTTTTTGAGGTACATTTTAAGCCGTGGTTTCCTGGTAAAAATTAGAAAGGTCCTAGTATTTAGAGTCAGAAAATCTGTGTTCTAGTTCACTTGCACATGCGTGATTTAGAGCAAGTCATATCTAGGGTTTGCTCATCTGAATTAGGATGGTGATAATTGCTGTTTTACAAGGCTGTTTATCATCAAATGACATATACAAAAGATATTTCTATGTTACCTTTCTTATAAATATTAGTAATAATTTAACTGATTACAAGCCCAGGCATTTAGAGCCCAGCTCTGCCAAATACTAAGTGTGACCTGGGCAAATTTACTTCTCTAAGACTCAGGTTCCTCAGCTGTAGATGGAGATTACAGTGCTTTTACCCCATAGGTCTGTAGATTTAAGGCATGCAGAAGATTCAGCTCAGAGGGGGTATACTCAGTAAATGGCTGCTATTTTTATAATAGTTTACATAATGTAAGGATAAATGTTTATCAATACAAATGAAATAGCAGCCATCAGTTAAGTATTTACATATATCAAATCAAAGGTTGAAAGCTAATCTACACGTTAATCCTCTCTTGCTTATCATTAGTCCATCTTTATATATTTATATTTTTATTTTTTAAAGGTTTTTTTAAAAATTATTTTTCTGGATGCATCGGGTCTTAGTTGCGGCACGCAGGATCTTTTGTTGCAGTGCACAGGCTCTTCGTTGCAGTGCGTCGGCTTCTCTCTACTTGTGGCGCGTGGGCTCCAGAGCTCACGGGCTCAGTTGTTGAGGCGTGGGCTTAGTTGCCCCACGGCATGTGGGATCTTAGTTCCCCGACCAGGGCTCGAACCGGCGTTCCCTGCATTGGAAGATGGATTCTTAACCACTGGACCACCAGGGAAGTCCTTATTTTTTAATTTATATGATTTATAAGCAAAACATCTCTTTTTCAAATTCAGGCTCTATACAATTATATAGAATAAAAAGGGACAGTGCTAACACCCGGACATTTCTATTATTTCCTTCAGGGAAAATCAGTGACGAGTTTGATGTTAAATTTTGAATGCAGTTACGTACACATGTATAGTTATTTATTATTCATTTCTGTTTACATAAATGGGACCATATATCACTTTGCAACTGCTTTTGGTAAAAATTTTTCTCAGAGAGCTATGTCAATATATATATCTTTATTATTTTTTACTTATTTATCCCTTTGGCTGTGTCAGGTCTTCGTTGCTGCACGCGGGCTTTTCTCTAGTTGCAGCGAGCGGGGGCCACTCTTTGTCGTGGTGCGCGGGTTTGTTGTGGAGCACAGGCTCTAGGCATGCCGGGTTCAGTAGCTGTGGCTCACAGGCTCAGTAGTTGTGGCTCACGGGCTCTAGAGCGCGGGCTCAGTAGTTGTGGCACATGGGCTTAGTTGCTCCAAAGCATGTGGGATCTTCCCAGACCAGGGCACAAACCCGTGTCCCCTGCATTGGCAGGCAATCTTCTTAACCACTGCGCCACCAGGGAAGCCCAATATATATAATTTTAGCTCTTCTCATCTGCTGCATAGTGTTCCACTGTATGGCTTTCATGTGTAAATTTTTTAGTCCTTATTGAGTTTCTAATTAGATTTTGCCCCCCAATTATTTAGTATTATGAAAAGTACTGCTATAAAATGTCCCTGAGCCCTACTTGAACATTTGTTTTAGTATCTCTATAATCAGTACCTGAGATTTCAGGGTCAAAGGGTAAACACACTTTTTGGAACTATTAATTGAACATGAAGACTATATTCTAAAGCCAGGGAGAGGTGGTTCAAGATGACAATGTAGGAAGATACTGAACTCACCTCTCCCAGACATACCAAATCTACAGCTACAGATGGGACAGTTTCCTCTGAAAAAGACCTGACGATTAGCCGAGCAACTCCTTCAAATCAGGCAAAGGAGAAAAAGGCCATGTGGATGTGGGTAGGTGAGGCTGAGGCCCAATCTTGCCACCAAGCCCACTCCTGGGGCAGCAGCCCACAGCAAAGGGTTTGTACCCAAATCAGCCACCTCAACTTTTAGGCCCTGTGCCTGAGAGGTAAGCCTCCCAAATATCTGGCTTTGAGAACCAACAAAGCTGCTGCATCCCTAAGACCAAAGGGATGTACAGAACTGAGAAACTGCTCAGGCTGAAAGGACTCGCTGGAACTCATCTGCACAGGGCCCAGCACAGAAGCAGTCCTTAAAAGCACCCAGATTTTATGTGAAAGAGATTCATTTGCTGATCTTAAAGCACCGGCTGGAGGGGCAGGGGCCTGGTGGGATACTCTCCGAGATGGGGGCCAGTGGGTGCCGATTTCCACTCTTCCTCTGCCTTGCTAAAGCTCGTGGGCACTATCTTTCTTTCCCTCCTCTTCCCTGCAGGTGATGATCTTTATGCATTCCCTCTGCTGATCTCCAGAGCACCAGTATCTCTGGAGCGGAGCTTTTATTTGCAGCTGGTACTCTGCCTTTTGCATCTGGTGTCCTGGTTTTTGTAGCTGTTGCCAGGAGACACCTTGATTGCTTGGCTCAGGTTAGCGGGTGGGAGGGCTTGCATTCCTGCATCCCGTGAGGCTCTAACAACTGGAGAGACAGTTCTTGGCAGACTACCATCCCCAAGGTACGAGCAGACTGAAAACACCCCCAGTCTTTCTGAGAAAGAGGCTCATTTGCTTGTCCAGGAGCTTTGGCCTGAGGAGAGGGCTTTCGTTCCGGCGCACTTCTAAAAGCCCACGGAGTGCTCTCTCAGGGAATGGAGGCTGGTGGAAGCACTCTTTGCGCTCTCCCTCTGCCTCACTCCAGCTTGACCTCCTCTCTCAGAAGGGAGCTTATACCCTTTCCTGGCACCCTGATTTTTGAAGCTGCTGCCGGGGATACCTCTACATTGCCTGGTTCTGGTGACCAGAGGGGATTATGCTTGCGGGTGTCATAGGAATAGATATTAAACAGCTACCACTGTCAGGCACAGCAAGAGAGAGGCAGCAGAACCAAGGGCTGTCTTCCAGGGAAAGACGCCTATAAGCTTATAATCACAGCTGCAGGCCGAGAGGCAGGATTCTGATTAAACACATTACCCATCTAAGGGCTGACTGTAAACTGTACCAGAGACCTAGGAGGGCAGGTGCTGTCTTCATGCTCTCCTTTTGCCACACTCCAGAGAACGAGCATCTCTCAGGGGAACTCTTACACATTTGATGCCTCAGCTTTTGCGGCTGCTGCCCAGGGGATACCCCTTCATCCCCTGCCTCTGGCGGCCAGGTGGTATTGCTTTCCTGGGTCCCACAGGGTTACAACGATCTGAGAGTCAGTGCGTGGGAGGCTGCCACCTTCAGGTCACTGCACAGATAGCAGGCAGAAACACCCCCCACCTTTCCGTAGAAGAGGCCTATTTGCCTGTCCTGGAGCTTCAGCCTGAGGGGCAGCCTTCGCGCTTGGCACACATCTAGAGGCCTGTGGAGCTCCTCTCAGAGAACACGGGCCGGGGAACGCCGTCTACGTTCTCCCTCTGCTCTGCTACAGCTGGCTAGTATATACCAGAAAGGAGCTTATGCACTTGTCTGGAGCCCCGAGTTTTGACTGCTACCCAGGGGACACCTTCATATGACCTGGCTCTAGTGGCCACCAGACCTACTCTTGTGTTCCACAGGATGGTATACATTTGCATACTTTAAAAGCTGCTGCCTGAGGGCCTGGCTTCCAATCATCCTGAATCTAAGTGCTGGCTGAGATATTCCCCTTTGGTACACTGACAGGTCTTGGCACACACTCAGCTATTGGGAGCTATTAAAAATAGGTGGCTTGGAGAATCACAGAGGTTTGAGAGACAACCAAGAGCTAGGGAAAGGCTGGACAATAAGGTTTATCACATGAGGCTACTCCATCAAGACTGTTGGTTTCTATGCATTAGATGAAACAGCCACCTCTTCCAGAGAGTCAAGCAAAATGAGGAAACACGGGAATATGTTACAAAGAAAAAAAGACAAAACCTCAGGAAAAAAACATTTAAACAAATGTAAGTAATCTACATGATAAAGTGTTCAAAGTAGTGGTCATAAAAGATGCTACTGAATGTGAGAGAAGAATGGATGAACACAGTGAAAACTCTGAGAAACTTGTAGAAAATATAAGAGAGTACCAAATAGAAGTCATGGTGTTAAAGAAAGAATACAATAACTGAACTGAAAAATACACTAGAGTGGTTCACTAGCAGACTAAAAGAAGCAGAAGAATCAGTGACCTGGAACACAGGTAGTGGAACTCACATAAACAGAGCAACAAAAAGCAAAAAGGATTTTTAAAAGTGATGACAGCTTAAGGGACCTCTGGGACAACATCAAGTGAAACAACATTTATGTTATAGAGATTCCAAAAGAAAAGAGAAGGGGGCTGAAAACTTCCCCAACATGGGGAAGGAAACAGACACCCAGATCCAGGAAGCTGAGACAATTCCAAATAAGATGAACCAAAAGATACCCATCTAAGACAAATTATAATTAAAATGGCAAGGAAGGTAGAAATAAGGAGAGAATCTTAAAAGCAGCAAGAGAAAAACAACTTATGAACAAGAGAATCCTCTTGAGACCATTAGCAGATATTCCAGGAGAAATTTTTCAGGCCAGAAGGGAGTGGCATGATGTATTCAAAGTGCTGAAAGAAGAAAATTCCCAACCAAAGTGAATAAAAACCATATAATCATCTCAACAGAGAAAAAACATTTGGCGAAATTCAACACCCACTTATAATAAAAAGTTTCAACGGGACTTCCCTGGTGGTCCAGTGGTTAAGACTCCGTGCTCCTACTGCAGGGGGCATGGGTTCGATCCCTGGTTGGGGAACTAAGATCCCACATGCCGCAGAGCGAATTAAAAAAAAAAAGTCTCAACAAACTGGATACAGAGGCAGTGTATCTCAACATAACATAGGCCATATATGACAGACCCAGAGCTGCCATCATGCTCAATGGTGAAAAACCCAAAACATGACAAGTATGCCTACTCTCACCACTTTTATTCAACATAGTACTGGAAGTCCTAGCCACAGCAATTAGGACAAGTAAATCAAAGACAACCAAACCAGGAAGAAGTAAAACTGTCACTATTGCAGATGACATGGTACTGTTTGTAGAAAAACCTAATGATTCCACAAAAAAACTATTAGAATAAATGAATTCAGTAAAGCTGTAGGACACATAAGCAATATACAGGGACCTATGGCATTTCTACACACTAATGATCACAAAGAAATTAGGAAAACACCCCATTTACAATTTCATCAGGTTTACTTGATTGCTATATCAATAATATTGTACTATACTCTCCCTTTACAATTCTCCAGAAGACGGCATGTATAGTAAGGAATACCTATGACCTGTATCTCTAATCTCAGCTTGTACATGTCAGAATATTAATGTTTATGAACAGTTTAGCACATATACCTGTTTTAATAAGAAAGATCCATTTGAGGCCATACTAAAATTTAAAAGCCAAGAGCAATAAATCCTGATGTACTTTGGGAAATCTAAATGATTACATTATAAATTTCTCTTTGATCATTAATATAGTGACTTTACATAGAGTTCCATATTGTGTCCTACAGTAGACTTACAGCTTGAAGCAGCTATAGGATTTGACTATTGGGCCTAATTCCTGATAAGAGTGTTTAATAAAATATGTACATTTGTGGAAGGCAGAATTCCACACACTGGGGAGAGAAGTAACTTGATCTCTTGAGCTACTTATGAGGTGAAGTAGGAAATCAACTGCAAACTTTCCTTCTAGATCAAAAAAGTGTGTCTTTGTGGGCAACCCATATATAGCCATTTTACCTTTGTGGAATGGGCTTTATTATCCTTGCCACTTGTGATATTTTTGTAATACAAGCTTCTTTAATTATTGCTTTTTAATGTCTGAAGAGTACTGGGAACAACTGTCATTCTTGTTGAATCTCTAAAAAAGGCAATACAGTGGTATTTTTTTAGTCTCTTATTAAACATATCCATAAATTATCCATGCTTCATGGATGTCAGTTTGTGGATGTCTAGGCAGTTAGACAACTAATGCCCGTAACTTACAGGAAAGAAGCTACTTACTTCCAACTGCACGGGTTGGCAACATGTGATTCACGAGATGCATCTTATCAACTCCTTTCTTTGCTTAAAATTATACCATTAACTAAGTACCTCAAACCAATTATATGTTTTTATTTTGGAGTAACAAAAGTAAATGCCAGGAGGAGACACAGAATACTTAGTAAGATACGGTCTAACAAAGCAGAATGAATAAAGAAAAAGCATATAAAGTGTTATATATGTATATGCTTCAGTTCAACCTGTTCTCTTTGTTTTTTTTCTACTAGGCACATCATCTTTGCTCCAAGCAGCCACAACAAATATGCTGGCGAATCATTTCCTGGCATCTTTGATTCTATATTTGATATTGAAAATAAAGCAGATCCTCGTTCAGCCTGGAAAGAAGTAAAGAAACACATTTCAGTTGCAGCCTTTACAATTCAAGCAGCAGCAGGGACTCTGAAAGAGTTGTTATAGTAAGGTCTCAGCCAACTAGCTGCCGTTAAAAGTCTGAGGATAAAATCCGTCTTTCTGATAACACGTGAAGCCAGAGCTAAAATCTTGCTTTTCATGTCATGTTTTGACTTTAGGCTTCCACCTTGTTCATCTGCAAAGAGATTTTTGGCCCTTTGAAAATTCATAACTTCATGAAAGCGCTAAGCCAATAAAACAAACCAAAAAACCTCTAGTCATATGGAGAAAGAGATAAAGTAAGTGAAAGTTCCCTAAAATAAAATATGGCAAGGAACTTGAACTCTTCAGACATTGGTGGCCAGAAAGTGAAACAGTACAACCACTTCGGAAGACAGTCTGGCACTTTCTTATAAAGTTAAATATATACTTATATTATAGCTCTAAAATTCTACTTCTAGGTATTTACTAAGGAAAAGCAAAAACATGATCACCAAAAGACTGTTGCATGTTCATCTCAGCTTAATGTGCAAATAATGCCAATGCCCATCAATAAATGAATGGATACATTGTGGTATATTCACAAGGGAATACTACTCAGCAATAAAAACGAAATAACTGCCGATACATGTAATATTATTGGCAGACATTGTTGAGGGAAAGAAGCCAGACACAAAAGAATGCCTAGTATGAGACTCAATTTATATGAAGAAGCAAAACTAATCTATGGTATTAGGAATTAGATCAGTGACTGCTTGGGTCAAGTAAGGGGCAGGCAGGGAGGAAATCTGCTACAAAGAGGAAAGTTTCTGGGATGATGGGAGTTTTCTGTATCATGATCTGGATGATGGTTACACAGGAATATACAGTTGTCAAACTTCATCAAACAGTAAACTTAAAATGTGTAACAATGATACCTTATAAATAAATTTGATTACCAAGAAAAAAAATGTCTGGCAAGGAGACTGGAATAGCACACCTTCTCTTGTGAAACCATCATGGAGTATAAATGGTAAGGAAAAGTGAGTAACAGCTATACTTTTGATAACTTCAACTCTGCTGAATAATATATATCTGATAGGTGAAAATAGTTGACCCTTGAATAACATGGGGGTTAGGGGTGCTGACCCTCTGTGCAGTTGAAAATCCATGTGTAACTTGACACTTGGCCTCTCCATATCCTTGCTTCTGCATGCATGGATTCAGCCAACCATGGATCATGTAGTGCTGTAGTATGTATTTAGTGGAAATAAATCTGCGGATAAATGGACCTATGCAGTTGAAACCTGTGTTGTTCACAGGTCTACTGTAGTTGCCACAAGTCTTCATACTCTGACTCCTATTGAACAGAAGTATATCAGCATGTGCAAACTTTCATGCAGAGCCTAATGATTCAGAATTGTGGGTAATCTGAGATGAAAGCTTCAAAAAGCTTGGTCGTTTAATTACTTTGCCAGAAAGAGTTGAGAATCAAAATTAAATGAGCCCTCATAGGCAGGCACACTAACTACAAGAAGAAGCTTTAAAGGGCAATAAAGGACATTACTCATGAAGCATGAATAAATTGATAAAGCATATTAAATTAGACTTCTGTGACAAGTTTGTTTTAGCAAATCTATGAGTTTAATTTTCTACCATACTATATTACCTTAACATAAGACTTTATTTTAGGATAGAGGAGTAACTGTATTTTAACTTTTGACTTAAAGCATTGTCTTGTAGAGACAATATTGGGTTTTCTACTGTCCCAACTGAGTAAATCACTACATAATTCTGGGCATCAGTTTATTCAAGAGTAAGGATTGTTAAGGTTCCATCTAACTCTATTATATCATTTCTAAAGGGGACAAAATACAAAAATTTATAAATCTCTTTTATGTTTTTCCTACCGGCAGCTTTCCAGAAGAAAGATATTTATTGCTAAAACAGCATGTATGGTTAGAAATATGGGTTTAGAGAAAAACAGTAACCTTTTCAACTTATTGTTTACTTTAATTGGTAAGTTATTTTGTTTTTATCATCTTTAATCAACAATTGACCATTTGAACAGAACAATGATTATGTGGTATGCACTGTAATAAACTCAGGATATTAGAGAATATGTACTACCACATGTTCAACACACAGAATGTGTTTGAACTACTTTTTTAGTCTTTTTCCTGTAGGATTATTTTATGTCTAAGATGTTTACGCTTGGTAACCACATAGCAAAAATCTAGAGTAGTCATGAAACATGAAAAAAAGGGAGACTGAGCAAATCACCGTGGAAAATCACCACTTTACAAAGGTAGACAGAAACAGAGGGAAAAGCAAAGAAAGGAGATATAAAACAACCAGAAGACAAACGATAAGATGGCAGTAATCACTCTAAATAGAAATAAATTCAATTCACTAATCAAAGGCACAGAGTGGCTGGACGGATTAAAGAGACCTAACTATATAATTTCAGCTCTAGAGATACACATAAGCTCAGGGTGAAGATGTGAGTGGATGAGGATATTCCGTGCAACTGGAAACCAAAAGAAAGCAGGTATAGCCAGACAAAACAGACTTAATGCCAAAAATGATAAGAGACAAAAGGTCATTATATAATGATAAAAAGGTCAATATATCCAGAAGATACAACAATCATAAATATATATATACACCCAACATTGGCACACTGAAATAATATTAAGCAAATTCTAATAGATCAAAAGGGAGAGACAGATAATAATGCAATAATAGTAGAGGATTTCAATATCCCACTGCCAGCAATGACCACTGATCATCCAGACATCAAATCAGTAAGAAATGCTGGAATTTAAGCATACTGTATAACAAATGACCTTAACAGACATATCCAAAAGTAGCAGAATATACATACTTTTCAAGTGCACACAGAACATTATCTAGTATAAATCATGATATGAGAAGAAATGAAAACAACACGTCTCAACAAATAAGAATACTGAAATCACACCAACTATCTTTTCAGATAACAATCTATGAAACTAGAAATCAACAATAAGAGGAAAGCTGGAAAATCTACAGATATGTGGAAAGTAAACAAGACACTCCTAAACAATGAGTCAGAGGGGAACAAAAAGGAAATTAAAAAATTATCTCAAAACAAATGAAAATGGAAATACAAACTATCAAATCTTATGGGATGAAGGAAAAGCAGTTCCGAGAGGAAAGTTTATAGCAATAAATTCATATATTGAGAAATTTAGAAACATCTCAAAAAAAAAATCCCCCTAACTTTTACACCTCAAGGAACTAGAAAGAGAAAGCAGGAGGATCAAAGTGGAAATACATGAATACCAGGGAGGAAAAAAACAGAATTAACAAAATTAAAGCTGGCTCTTCAAAAGATAAACAAAATTGACAAACCTTTAACCAGACTAAGAAAAAAAGAGAGAAGACTCAAAATTAGAAATGAAAAAGACACTACAGAGATACAAATACTACAGAAATATAGAAGACATATGAGACTATTATGAACAATTATATGCCAACGAGATAACCTAGAAGAAATGCATAAACTTCTATAAACACAAACTACCAAGACTGAATCAGGACAAACAGAAATTCTGAACAGACCATTAATGAGCAAAGAAATTGAATCAGTAATCAAAAACCACACAACACAGAAAACCTCAGGACCAGATGGCTTCATTGGCAAATTCTACCAAACATTCAAAAGAGAATTAACAACAGTCCTTCTCAAACTCTCGCAAAAACCTGAGGAGGAAATACTTCCAAAGTCATTTTATGAGGCCAGCATTACCCTGATTCTGAAGCCAGATAAGGACACTTTAACAATAGGCTAATATCCCTGATGAATGTAGCTGCAAATTTTTCAATAAAATCTTAGCAAACTGAATTTAAGAACATACAAAAAGGGTTATACGTCATGACCAAATGGGATTTATCCCTTTGATGCAAAGATGGTTCAACATGTAAATCAATAAATGTAATATATCATATTAATGAAAGATAAAAATTACGTGATCATCTCAGTTGATGCAGAAAAGCATTTGGTAAAATACAACATCCTTTCATGATTAAAAAATGCTAGGCAGGGGCTTCCCTGGTGGCACAGTGGTTGAGAGTCCGCCTGCCGATGTAGGGGACATGGGTTCGTGCCCCAGTCTGGGAAGATCCCACATGCCGTGGAGCGGCTAGGCCTGTGAGCCATGGCCGCTGAGCCTGCGCGTCTGGAGCCTGTGCTCCGCAACGGGAGAGGCCACAACAGTGAGAGGCCCGCGTACTGCAAAAAAAACAAACAAACAAAAAAAAAAGCTAGGCAGACTGGGTATAGAGGAACATACCATAACATAATAAAGGCCATATGTAACAAACCTACAGTTAACATGATACTCAATGGATAAAAATTGAAAGCTATTCCTCTAAGATCAGGAACAAGACAAAGATGCCCACTTTCACAATTCTTATTAAATATAGTACTGAAGGACTAAATTGCTCAATATAGAGCAATTGGGCAAGACAAACAAAAGGCATCCAAATAGAGAATGAAGAACTAAGTGTTGATATTTGCAGATGCTACAATTTCATATATAGAAGATCCCAAAGACTCAACCAAAAAAAAACCAAAAAAAACCAAAAACTGTTGGAACTAATTAATGATTTCAGTAAAACTGCAGGATACAAAAATCAATATACAGAAATCAATTACATTTCTATATGCTAAGAATGAAACATTTGAAAAGGAAATAAAGAAAACTATCCCAATCACAATAGCATCAAAAACAATAAAATACTTAGGCATAAGTTTAACCAAGGAAGTGAAAGATTATTGCTGAAAGAAACTGAAAACAAAAGTAATAAATGGAAAGATAGCCTGTGTTTATGGATCGGAATAAGTAATATTGTCAAAATGTCCACACTATCCAAAGCCATCTATAGATTCAACAAAATTCCCATCAAAACACCAATGGCATTCTTCACAGTAGAAAACAATCCTCAAATCTGTATGGACCCACAAAAGACCCCAAATAGCAAAAGCAATTCTGAGGAAAAAGAACCAAGCTGGTGGTATCATACTTCCTGATTTCAAACTATATTACAAAGCTATAGTACTAAAAATGTATTATAATAAACAATATAACCATATGCCTAAAGGAGGCAGGAAAAGAAAAACAAAACCCCAAAGTTAGTAGAAGGAAATAAATCATAAATATCAGAACAGAAATAAGTAAAATAGAAACTAAAAATAGAAAAGATCAATGAAGCTAAGAGCTGGTTTTTAGAAAAGATACGCAAAACTGATAAACCTTTAGCCAGACTCATCAAGAAAGAAAAGAGAGGGCCAAATCAATAAAATCAGACATGAAAGTTATAAGAGACACCAAGGAAATACAAAGGAATCATAAGAGACTACAATGAACAGCTATACGCCCATAAAATGGACAATCTAGAAGAAAATGGAAGATTCCTAGAAATGTATGATCTTCCATGATTAAACCAGGAAGAAACAGAAAATATGAACAGACCAATTACCAGCAATGAAAGTGGAACAGTAATAAAAACTATCAGAAAACAAAAGTCGAAACCAGAAGGCTTCACAGGTGAATGCTACCAAACATTTAGAGAAGAGTTAACACCTATTCTTCTCAAACTGTACTAAAAACTGCAGAGGAACATTTGTGAACTCATTCTACAACTCATTCTACATCATCCTGATAACAAAAACAGACACCACAATAAAAGAAAATTACAGGCCAATATCACTGATAAACATAGATGCAAAAATCCTCAACAAAATATACAAAATATAATTAAACCAAATCCAACAATATAATCAAACCAAAATATAATCAAACCAAATCCAACAATACATTAAAAGGATCATGCACCATGATCAAGTGGGATTTATCCCAGGGGTGCAGGGATTTTTCAATATCTGCAA